ACTCACTGTGTAACTGTACAGAGTCAGTGTTTATTCAGCAGGGTAAGAGTCAGTCACTCTAACTGTGTAACCGTACAGAGTGAGTGTTCAGGAGGGTAATGATTCATTACATAAACTGTTCAAATAAGGTTAATAAGCAGCAACCTATTCGAGCTAGTGCTCTGGGAATAAACATTCAGCTGAAGCCGCGATCCTGTTAACTGTTGCAGATCTGAGCCATAATGCCACCACTGTCGCTGGTTTAACGGTTGAGAGTAAGAAAATGGAGAGTCATTCAAGTCTTGATGTAACACAGCAGCTGTAGGGAGAACCAAGAACAAAAGAACTTCTCTAAAAATGAGGAAGAACCTTGGTACTGATAATAAATGTTCGGAAATGATGTTACCCTATTCTGTCCAGTATAAATAGAATTTTTAAGGAGCTCTTAGATGGGCAGGACTATATTAGAGTACCTGCTTCTTGGTCTGTTTCTGTACTTGCAGCTGGGGAATGGCTGTCACAGAGTCTTACTAGTCAAGATTAGCTGGCTTCACACTGATGTGATTTATACTTGGACCAGAAGTGGCAGAAAATTAAGATTAAAGATCTCGGTGATTGAGGAATTAACACTTTCTTATCTTCCATGTAAAATAATCTCTGTCATCAAATTCATTAAAATATGAGCTGGTCTTTAATCACTCGCTGCTCCCTGGCTGAGAAGGGAAATCAGGGACAGCACCAAAGCAAAGAAATAGCAGATAGTGTGGTGAAGATTAGTGGGAAGCCTTTTAAAAACCAGCCGACAATAACTTTTTTAAAAAAAAATGAGGGTGAGAAGATGTATTATGACAGTAACCTAGCCAGCGATATAAAAAAATTGCAAGAGAGAGGAGGAAGATTTATAAAAGACACGAAAGGCAACTTTTTTTACACAGATTCATTCACTTTTACACAGTTCATTCCACAGATGGTTGGTGTAGACTGGTTGGACCAAATAGTCTGTTTCCATGCTCTCCTACTCTATGACTCTAGATATTTAAAAGCTAAGAGAGAGGTAAGAGTGGACATCGGACTGCTGGAAAATGAAACTGGAGAAGTAGTAATGGGCGGAGGAACTGAATCGGTATTTTGCATCAGTTTTCACAGTGGAAGACACTTGCAGCATACCAGAACTTCAAGAGAGTTGGGGGGACAGAGATAGTGCAGTGGCTATCATTAAAGAGAAGGAAACTGAAAGGTCTGAAAGTGGATAAATCATCTGGATTTATCACCCCAGCGTTCTGAAGGAAATAGCTGAGGAGATTGTAGAGGCTTTGGTGGTGACCTTTCAGGAATCACTGGAGTCAAGAAGGGTCCCAGAGGACTGGAAAGTCGCTAATGTGACCCCCCTGTTTAAGAAGGGAAAGAGGTAAAAGACAGGAAACTATTGGCCTGTTAGCCTGATCTCAGGCATTGGTAAGATTTTAGACTCCATTATTAAGGATGAGATTGTGAAGTACTTGGATGTGCATGGTAAAATAGGGATGATTCAGCACAGCTTCATCATGGGTAGGTCATGCCTGACAAATCTGTTAGAATTCCTTGAGAAGGTAATGAGCAAGTTAGAGAAAGGAGAACCAGTGGACGTGATTTATCTGGATTTCCAGAAGGCCTTTGACAAGGTGTTGCACAGGAAGCTGCTAAATAAGATAAACCCCCATGGTGTTAGGGGCAAGGTACTGGAATGGACAGACTGGAATGGATTGGCTGACTGGCAGAAGGCAGAGAGTGGGGATAAAGGGGTGGTGGAGTGGTGACTAGTGGAGTTCCGTGGGGAGTCCATATTGGGACCACAACTATACATTATACATTAACGATCTGGATGAAGGAACTGAGGGCTTTGTTGCTAAGTTTGCAGACACCAAAATAGATGGACAAGTAGCATTGAGGAAGCGAGGAGGCTGCAGAAGGACTCGGACTGGCTAGGAGAGTGAGCAAAGAAGTAGCTGATGAAATACAATGTGGGAAAGTGTGATGTTATGCACTCTGAAATACAAAGGGACTTGGGAGTCCTAGATCAGGATTCTCTTAAGGTTAATATTCAGGTTTAGTTGGCAGTTAGGAAGGAAATGCAATATTAACAGTCATTTCAAGACGGCTAGAATACAAGAGCAGAGATGTACTGCTGAGGCTGTATAAGGTTCTGGTCAGACCACATTCAGAATGTTGTGAGCAGTTTTGGGGCTTGTATCTAAGGAAAGATGTGCTGGTAAATGAAGTGGTTTCAGAGGAGGTTTGCAAGAATGACTCCAGGGATGAAGGGATTGCCATATGAGGAGTGGTTGAGGACACTGAATCTGTACTTGAAGAAGTTAGGAGGATGAGGGGGAATCGGATTGCAACTTACAGAATACTGAAAGGATTGGATAGAGTGGATGTGGAGAAGATGTTTCCACTAGTAGGAGAGACTAGGATGTGAGGGCACAGCCCCAGAGTGAAGGAATGACCCTTTAGAACTGAGATGAGGAGAAATTTATTCAGTGAGAGGATGGTTAATCTGTGCAACTCATTGCTGCAAAGGGTTGTGGAGACCAAATCATTGAGTGTCTTTCAGACTGAGATACATAGGTTGTTGATTAGTGAGGGGATCAAGGGTTACAGGAAGAAGGCAGGAGAATAGGGTTGAGAAGCATGTCAGCCACAGTTGAATGGCAGAACAGATTCGATGGGCTGAATGGCCTAATTCTGCTTCTGTATCTTTTGGTCTTATTTCTGTTTCTTTTCCCTTCTCTCTCCACTTTATTTTCCACTTGTATTTTTTCTGCTTGAACTCCATTCCTCTCACACATTCCTTTTTGACTGTGTTATGTCATACAAGCTAATGGCACAGGGTCCAGTTTCCAATGGTAGCCCACCCTGTGGGAAGGAATATCAGTCACAAGTAGTTCTTCCACATGAGATGTGGTGATGAGTACAAAACATCATGTGACAAATGCTGCAGTTCCTCTCCTAACTGGGGTGATGTTGATGCTACATCATTCACATGGAGTTTCAACATGATGTCAATTGTTATGTCAGGCCGACAGCTACAGGAGCACATTAATGGCTGTATTGCATCTTAAAACTCTCCATAACTCTCCAGCTGAAGCTGTGTTGGTTTGGTGCTTTGAAAACCTTATGTTCCCTTGGTAAATGGCTTGGGTGTAGTTCCTTCTGCTGTTTTTCACCAATCACTGTCTTCGCCTTGGAAATGACAGACAGATGTTTTCCAAACTAAAGTTGCAATTGGAGAAACTGGTTTAGCTGTACAAAAACATCTGTTCTTTTAATAATGAGCAGAATCTGCTTTCAGAAATGTCACTTTTATAATGTTTCATTTCATACCTCAGGATTAGTAATCTGTGCAGGAACTCAGGTTTGGAGTTTTTGAAATGTATTCCTCTGGCTACATGAGAAAGATTTTTGAAGGTTTATGCTGGCAGGCTCTATTTTCCATTTTTCTTCCATAACGACTTTTAATTAGATTGAACATCTTTCAGATGCCTGGATAGTTTGATTAAAACTTGTGTGACATACTTAGAATCAAATGGACTGGAAGCAAGTTTCAGTATTTACATAGGAACAGGACTAGGTCATTCAGCCCTTCGAGCCTGCTCCACCATTCAATAAGATCATAGCTGATCTGTGGCCTAACTCCATGCTTTTTGCCCGTATCCCTTGATAAAGATTTGTCTATGTCAGATTTAATTTTAACTATTTAACTAGTTTCACCTGTTGTTTGAGGAAGAGAGTTCCAAACCTCGACTACTCTTTTTGTGTGGAAGTGCTTTCTAACATTTGTCCTGAATGGCCTGGCCCTAATTCTTACACTATGCCTTCATGACTATCCTGAAGAAGGGTGTAAACCTGAAATGTCAACTTTGCTGCTCCTCTGATGCTGTCTGACCTGCTGGGTTCCTCCAGCTTCACACTGTATTGACTCTGACTCCAGCATCTGCAGTTGTTGCTATCTCTTACACTATGTCTCCTGGTTCTAGAATCTTCAACCAGTACGAATAGTTTATTTTTATCTACCCTCCCTTTCCCTGTTAATATCATAAAGACCTCAATGATGTTACCCCTTCCCCTCTAAATTCTAGAGAATAAAGGCCTAACTTGTCGAATCTCTCTCCAAATGTAACCTCTGAAGTCCAGGTATCATCCTTGTAAACCTGTGTTGAACTCCCTTCAGGGCGAAAATATCCTTCCTAAGGTGTGGTGCCCAAATCTGCTCTCAGTACTCTGCATCCCTATATTTCAGCAGTTTAGATATGAAGGCCAGTATTCCATTAGCCTTCTTGACTATTTTCTGCACCTGTTTGTGGCTTTGTAAGGAGCTATGCACCTGAACCTCCAAACCTCATTGAACATCCACTGTACTTAACTATGTGTCTTCTTAAAAAAAAAAGTACCCTGATCGATCCTTTCTCGATCCAAAATGGATAACCTCACACTTGCTTATATTAAAATTCACCTGCCACAGCTTTGCCTGTTCACCTAATCTATCAATTTCAGATGTGTGGTACAGGGGGTGTGCTGCATAGTTCAAGGGTCAGTAGTGAGTGAATGTTGCACCCTCAGTGGCTACATTTCCAATGTTGCAGCAGTGATTACTCTTTAGAGACCCTTCATTGGCAGTAAAGCACTTTGGGATGTCCTGGGTTTATGAAAGGTACCACATGAATGTAAGTTCTTGCTGAGTTTTCAACGTCTGTCTCTGTATTTCAGATCACGTGATGTTTCTTTACTCATATCCTCAGATCTAGTAAAGAGCTCTTGCAAACCTCAAAACAACTCAATAGTCTCACTAGTCACCTGAATAATCAGCTGATTCCTTAGTCTCTGAACTGGAGCCTGAATGGTCAGCCTTAGACTGTCAGTGAGCAGACATCTGAGGGGTTTTGGTAATATCATTTCTGATGTCTCTGCATTTCTCTTGGAAAGTTACCGACTCTGAAATTTTAATATATTTCTTGTTTCTCAGACAAATAGTGGCATTGAAGAGAACCTAGAAGATGAAATATTAAATTATGACTTCAGAACTTCATTCTTTGACATATTTGTAAGTATTGAATTCTATCTATATATCGATCCAGAATTAGCCCCTTCCACCCTACCTCACTTTCAATAATTGTTCACCTTTGTCCCTCCGCTTCCTGCAGTCACTGGCTGTGTTTCGTTTCCTGGTATTGCTGCTTGCCTATGCCCTTCTGAGACTCCGTCACTGGTGGGTGATTGCGGTAAGGAATCACTGTCTCTGTCTACCCATGTTTGGGGTGGGATGATGAATGCCGGTGTTTTGGAGCTTGAATCTATTCATGCTATTTACAACAGGCAGTGAGGCAAAAGGCTCGAGGAATGTCTCACTCAACTCCACATAGGTTGAAAAAACAGAAAGCACTGAAAATAAACAACAGGTCAGTCAGAATTGATCTCAAGGAATGTTTTAATCAGCTCTGTCCATGGGCACATATGTCAACTATTAATCTGTCCCTCTATAATCTCTATAGATACTGATTGGCCTACATATTTCCATACTTTTTATTCTTAATTGCATTTCAAATGTGATCTGAACTAAAGAACAAGTTTCCATGAGAGTTTGATTGAGCATCTGGCTCATTTTTCCTTCTCTGTTGTGGCTTCTGTCTCTAAGAACAGCGTATTGACTGACTTCAAACGTTTATGATCTGGTGTTGAGACAGTTAATTATGCTTACTGATGTGTGTGATTTAAAGGGATGGGTATCTGTTAGGTCTCATCTTGGATTAACTATACCGCCTGTTGCATTACTGAGATGGATAGTGCGCAGAGGTCTCAGATTCCATTCTTTATCTAAGTTAGTTAATCTCATGTGGGGAGAGTTTGGGAATGGGGGAGGGGCTGCATTAACTTCAGTCAATAGAGCAACAGTCAACACCACCACTAACCAGAGGCTCTGCTATTAGAGTAATGGTCAGTAAATGTCTAACACATCAAAAATTTTTAATGACTAATTATTATTAATTGTCTTGTTGTAGTCCAGTGCACCTTTAGAGAGGTCAATTATAATTAATAAATAGAGCTCCTGTTGGTCACAGGTTGGAGTGGTGGTAAATTAGACCTAGAGGGCTTTGTCACACAGTAGTATTGTTCCTACCTCAAAGCTAGGATGCCCAGGTTCAAGTCCCACCTGTTTCAGAGCTATGTAATAACGTCTCTCAATAGTTTGATCCAAAATACAGAATTCATACCTGGAGAAGTGGGACTATGTAGACAGATTTTTCGAAGAACTGGCACAGACATAGTGAGCTGATAGGCCTCCTGCTATGCTGTAAGGTTCTATGAAGGAAAAGGATGTGTTTGTTTCATAAATCACTGTCCAGGGAGAGAAATCCCCTACTGACTTCCAGGGTTGGTCTGGATGTGAGGAATATGGTGGTGACACAACAAGCAAGTTAATTAGTAACATATCGTGAACTCAGTACTTTTTTAAATGGCCTGAATCTCTCTCATCAGCACTGTTATTGATTCATGTGTTTTGTTACAGGTCACTACTTTAATCACCAGTGGCTTTTTAATTGTAAAAGTCATTCTTTCAATTCAGGTAGGGAGACTTTAATTTTACAATAATCCCTGTCTCACTGCACCTGATCTTTGAGCTCCGCTTGCTTCGTCAGGAACTGGCTTTGAATTTTACTCTGAGAAGCTTGTATCAAAATCCCCCTGAGCCCCTTGCTGTCTGAAGTTCCACTGACCTGTTCTGCCTCAATCTTTCAGAGAAACCACTGAGAATTCCTCTTTAGAATGCCACCCACTTTCTAACACCTCTCCAAAAAAGGAACAATTATTAATGTTTGGAAGTAGTGAAGTCTTGAACAGCCCGAGTTTTGTTCACCGCTCCCTGTTGCAGTTCAGTGTTGTGTGGCCATTTGTTCAATGTCAGGATCCAACACAACTGTCTTAAAATGCCTTTTGCCTGAAGATAATCAGGTGTTCCCTTTGCAAAATACAGTAGATGCTGTAAATTTGAATTTAAAACAGAAAATGCTGTAGGTTCTTTAGCAGGTCAGGCAGTACCTGTGGAAAGAGAGAGAGATAACACTTCAGGTCTGTACCATTGGTTATCTGTTGGGAATGTCATATTAAAGGCTCAAAGGGGAAATAGCCTGTGCACGGTCATCAGAACAGACAGTGCAGCAAACCTGTCGCTACCTCAATAAGATTCATAATGGGCAAGTGAGCAGTGTCTTTATTTCCGCAACGACATGTGAACAGATGTTGTACTGAGTGGAGGAAGTGACTTCTGTCATTTTCTGTGCTTTCTGTATATTTTATCTGCTGTGGAAGAAAGCGCTGAACGTAGGAACCAATCAGCACCTTTGTCTTTGTGAACTCATTACTTTGTTTACTGTTAGTCTAGTGCAGCCACAAAGAGACACAAACATGCTTATGTCTGAGATCGGGGCCAAGGAATTTCCTTGCTCCAATCCTTAATCTTCCTGCCACTTGAGCAGAGGGCAGCAGGAGTTAACGTTCATAACAAAGCAAGTGACCAGTGACTTAACGGAGTGACTGGCACCACTGATTCCCAGTGGCCAATTAGAGGCCAAAGTGATCTTATTTGGAGGAGAATAGTTACCTGTCCTCCTGGACCAGTTCTTCCACAGTACTGGATTTGTTGCTAGTGGACAGCCTGGTTGTTTGTGTCCCTGTGACATATAATTTCCTGAGCTGAATATTACCAAGTAGATATGCTGTTTAATTGTGCTGCAATACACTGTCACTCTGCTGTTCTTTGTGAATGTGGATAGTATTTAAATGGATCCTTCCTTTGTGCAGTTCCAGACCAGGGGCGCATTTGGTTATGTTCTTCCAATTGTTTCCTTTGTCCTTGTTTGGCTGGAGACCTGGTTTCTTGATTTCAAAGTATTGATTCAAGAGGCAGAGGATGAACAATGTGAGTAAATGTTCAGTCTTCCTTTTAATTGAAATGAAATTGATCCTTCTTTGCTCTGCCTTTCTCTGTCTCTGTCTGTTTGACTGCGGTGTAAGACACCTCCTGGCTGCTATCATTTCCTAATATTCATTGATCAAAATAAGAATGATTATGGTAGAGTCATCTGATTGGATGGATGCTCCGTGAGATTATTTGCAAAATGATGTAATCGATAAAACAGACACCTTTATTCCTTGAATGCCAACACTGCATGGTTACAACAAAGTAATATTTTGTAGATCATGTTAGGCTAGGGTACTGACTTGTGATTTGTACATTTAGTCTCATCTGTATACATTGTATAATGACCCCTGTACGCTTACACTTAAAGTTTCCTTTATGCCTGTATTCAACATTATATAGGTACAAGCTGCACTGTTTACGGTTTATTTGATGTATACCTTTTTTTGTTAAATGATTTTTATGGCAAACATAAAAAGCCCAAAGTCTCTGCCATGTTTCTGGAAGGTTGCCTGTAAATTTCCTAGGTTTTAATGTTTTTTTGTGATGCCACATTGTCTTGCTCATAGGAATTTGGGGTTAATTGTAATGTCCAACTGAGGGATAATTAAACCAGGACACCAGAACCAGTAATTCTGCGCCTGTTTGAAAATTGTACATCAGTCCTAATTTTTTCAATTGCCATTTATTTACTTTGCCAAGACTTTATGCATGTGAACACTAAGACCTCTTTGCCCACATTAATATTGGTCACATAGCTAATCATGATTTTCTTATGGATGTAATTGTAATTTGTCTCTATCTGTTTCAGTGTACCAGACATCTCATGCAGTATTTGTGCACTCACCCCTACTGTATCCCAGAGGTGTATCTGAGGGACAATTCTACTCTCCTCCAGAGTCCTTTGCAGGTACCTGACTGAGCGGCAGCTTCTTACTCAATAACAGCCCTTCAGAGAGGCCTTGAGCAGGTTGGAGAAGGATAATGGGGAAGAACTGCTTGGGCACTTTGGGGGCAAGTGAAACAGTGAAATAGAGAGAGGGTGGGAGGGGGGCTGGTCAGAAGGAAAAGACAGGGTGATGGTGGGAACTGAACAGCAAGTGGGACTCTGGGTTTTCGTTACTTTGGGTTCTCTGTACATCTGAAAAATGCCAACTTTCTAAATGTTAAACTGAGGCCCGAATTAGGCCACAGATAGCTAAAACCTTTGCGTTATTTACAGCGTGTTCTAGTATAAAATAAACAGGCCATTCAGGCCTTCTTGTGTGCTGGTATTTTCTTGCATTCCTATTATAAACCTGCTTCACTTGACAGGCTCTGAAGATGAGTTTGAAAGTGAAGGTACTGAAAGGAGAGCAGTAACACCAGAGGTAAGGGCCAACCGGAAATTCTAAATTGTGATAATAAACTGCAGTTTGTGGTGTGGGTGGGAGAGCCAGTTGGGAGGGCGACTGCTTCTGAAATTCAGTATTGCTTTTCTTTAAACGGTAAGTCTTTCACCCTCTTTCCAAGCCCTCCCATTCCCTTTCCATCTCCCTACCTTCCCATCCCAGCCCATCACTTTACATCCGAACAAAAAAAAACCAAAGAACTGCAGATGCTGGGAATCAGAAACAAAAACAGAAATTGCTGGGAAATCTCAGCAGGCCTGGCAGCATCTGTGGAGAGAAAGCAGAGTTAACATTTTGGGTGTAGTGACTTTTCTTCAAAACTGATTGTAGCCAGGAAAAGAATGGTATATATGCTGAAAATGAGGTGGGTGGAGGAGTAAACAATAGGTGGAGAAGAAGCCCAGAGAGATTAGACAAATTAGGCCTTTATTCTGTAGAATTGAGAAAGTTAAGGAGTAATATAATAGAGTCTTCAGAATATTAACAGGGAAAGACAGGATAGGTAAATAGGTTGAAGATTCTAGAATTGGGGGGGTGCAGGGTGGTGGCAGCGGCAGAGGGATTGTGGGTAGCATGGTCTAAGAATTAGGACCAGGCCATTTAGGAGAGATATTAGAAAGCACTTCTACATGTAAAGAGAAATGGAAGTTTGAAACTCTCTTCCTCAAACGGTGTTTAATGCTAATTCATTTTTTACATTTATATCTGAGACAGTAAATTTTTTTATTAAGCAAGGATATCAAGGGATACAGGCTCAAGGCAGGCATATGGAATTAGGCCACAGATGAGCTATAATCTTATTGAACGGCAGAGTAGGCTCGAGGGGCTGATTGACCCACTTCTATTCATATGTCCCTAAGCAGTAAATGAAGATGACCAGTAATCTGGGAGATAGTCTAGGAAATTCCACTTCAACTCCCTCAAGTGATGACACCAGTCCAGGAGATCGCACAGACCGGTGCAATCTCAACCCTTATTTTCTACATGATGTGATTTCTGCTGCAGTCCAGCATTGCTCCAGCTCCTTTTTTAAGGTAATGTAATTAATCCACATTCACTTCACCAGCTGGAAGTATGTTATAGAGGCTCGCTCAGTCATTAAACACCATCCAGCAGATTCACTGGCCAGCTGGGCCAGAGGGTGACTGGCTGAGAAGACCAAAGGGTGACTGGCCATTTGGACAAGGGGTTGGCTAACCAGTTGGGTGAGAGGGTGACTATCCGGTTGTGCCAGAGGATGACTGGCAGGTTGGGTGAGTGGGTGACTGAGTGGATGAGAGGGCCAGAAGGTAACTGACTGGTTGAGTGAGTGGTTAATTGAGCAGGTATACGAGGATTAACTATCCATTTGGTCCAGAGGGTGACTGACTGGGTGGACAAGAGGGTGATTGCCCTTTTCATTTTGCAGGAGAAGGAATATGTGCGTCAGGGTCGAGAGGCAATGCAAGTGATGGAACAAATACTGGGCCAGGAGGCATGCTGGAAGTTTGAGAAAACAAATGTGGGTAACTGGTTGTGAGCTTGCTTAGAATTATTTACTCTACCCGTTCTTGGTCTGTTATGTATGTTTTACAGCTTTTGTTTAACCTTTCACAGACTTGTTGCAGAGCACCCACAGATCTAACTGATAAAAGATTGAGGTTTCCAAAGTGGTATTTTGAGCTGTGAAAATGTAGACCCAATCCTGGGCACACAGTGTAGTGAAATGTCATTTACTAATGGCAGCAGAATCATGAATACTAATGTTCTAAATAAAGACACCCCTGTTAAATTGGAACATTTTATTTTCTAGTGGACTTCCTGAGCATGTTGCTAGCCACACAGCACCTGTGCAGCTTCTCCAGTGTGATCACCATGGGGTTGGTAAAGGTTCACCCAGTTCCAATGGCTCTGAGACTGCTCCAAAGGGAATCTGTGTTCACCCAAAAAATGCGGGTCAGAAATCAGGGCGCACCTTTGTTGATTTTGTTGGTTGTTCTGTGAGGAATTGATCTGAACACCTCAATTAGTTTGCAACCTCTCATTAACTGTCAAGTACCTGTAATCCTGGATATGAATGATTTCTCTGCTTTGTGGTGGTGAAACTCCCAGGACAAAGCTGTTCAGGATTCGAATCTGGAAGCCAATGTGGTATTTAGCTGCTTTTCTGTCTTGTACACTTGGGCTTGGTCCAAATGACTTCACAGCCCAGTCAGAGAATGATTGCTGATTGATCACTGAGGTTTGCAGGTTGCATGGAGCCTGCTTGAGCTCCCATTCTGAAATTGCTTCCAGTGGGATTGTATTGAGTATTGAAGAATCTTGCTAATCTGGGATCTCTGTTACAGGAGTACAATGATGTTGTTTACACGTTTGAAATCCCATATCATGGCAGGAGCTTCATTCTAAAGGTAAGAACTTTGATGCTGAAGCACAGTGGTGTGGCCCAGGATAGGATGGGGCTCCCTGCCTGAGGAAAGAGAATTTACTCAAGGAAGAAAATCATTAAACATAAAATATTCAAAATGAACAATTCAGCAACATTTTCCATTTCACTGTACAAACAGACTGACTCCAGTCCATCTGTGCAGAATTAATAAAGAAAGATATTCCCTTCCAAATCTGTCATTGGGCTGCAGTTGCAAAGTTGATCTTCGTCCTGTAGCAATGAGTGAATTTGTTGTTGGTAGCATTTGCTTCCAAAGGAACTGCAAGCCTCAATTCCTTCCTTGCTCACATTTCACAAGCACTCTCTCAATCATCCCGATTTCCTCATATGCTCTCCATGAGCTAAATCAACATGCTCAAAACTGGGATAGAGGGAGAATTTTGGGTGAGTGCAGAGCAGAACGTTGTAACCCTAAGACAGAGCTGTGGGGTGAACATGCACTTACAATGCAGGATTTGCAGCTGGAATCATTCCGTAGTACTGGATGTTTCAGTTTTTCAGACATTGACCTTTGCTGCAGGCTTTGAACTCAAAACAGGCAGGCTGCTAGGATGGAAGTCTTCTGTGAAATTTCCTTAATAGTTTTTTTTAGCTTTCAGAGTAAATGACTCAGCACAAAAAAGGGACACTCGGTCAGAACAACCAAAGTGTGACTGATGTGGAAATGAAAAATTCTCTCACTGGTTCAGTGACAGGATGAAGACACACTGCGAAAGTACTAATCTCAGAGTCTCACAATGTATCTAACCCCAAACTGTAGCTGTCCTGGAGTGTTTAATGAGGATATCGTAAAGGGAGCTTTTTTACGATAGCTAACCCTGTGCTATACCAGTTCTCGGAGGATTTGAAGGGGACAATGTAAAGGAAGCTTCACCTTCAGCTTACTTTCAATTTAAAAGAGCAGAGGGTGTTTTATATCTTACCCCTTGCTGTGCTGGAAATGTCCAATGGAGACAGTGTAAAGGAAACCTTACTCTGAGGCTGTTCACACATTGTTTCTGTACTGACTCTCTGTGTCCTCACACTTTCAGGCAATGCATTCCTGTAACCCAACTACTTGCAATGTGAAAAGATTTTTTTTCTCATATCACATTTGCTTTTGTGCCCTCTCATTTTCATCCTTTTCATGAGAGCGAGCAGTTTCACACTATCCATTGTACAGCTCCCTCGTGATTGTGAAAACTTCTATCAGATTTTGCTTAACCTTCTCTCCTTGGAAAACAGTCATAACTGAAGAGTTTCATCTTTAAAATAATTCTCATATACTTCTTTGCACTCTCTACAATGCATTCACATCCTTCCTACAATGGGGCACCCAGAACTGTACACAGTACTCCAGCTGAGGTCTAATTAATGTATCATACAAGTTCAGCATAATCTTGTTCCTGTAATCTGTTACCTTCTTCATAAAGTGAAGGATATTGTATGCTTTATTAACCATGCACTCTACCTGTCCTGCTACTTTAGTGACTTATCCAGCTGTCTCTGCTCCTGCACACCTTTTAGGAAAATCCCCTTTGTTTTATATTTTGTTTCCATGTTCTTTCAATGAAAATGTGTCACCGCACGCTCTCTGTATAAAACTCCATCTGCCACTTATCTGCCCATTGCACCAACTTGTCAATGACCTTCTGCATATTTACCCTGTGCTGCTCATAGTTTACAATGCTTCAAACTTTTGCATCAGCTACAAATTTTGAATTTGTCCTTTGTACACCAAAGTTAGTATGATTACATATTAATGGAAAAGCAAGCGTACCAGTAATGACTCCTGGGGAGCTCTGCTACAAATGTTCCTCAAGCCCAAACACATTGATTAATCATTACTCTGTATCTCATCACTCAGCCAACCTTGTGTCCACGGTGCTACTGTCCCATTCATTCTGTGAGCTACAGCTTTTTTCATGTCTGTTGTGTGGCTCTGTATCAAACACTTTTTGGAAACTCATGTACACCACATTGACAATATTGTCGTCATCAACTCTGTCTGTTATCTCTCCAAACAAAACTCCAAGTTAGTTAAACACAAGTCTCAAGGGGTTGAATGGCCTACATCTGTTCCTATTTCTTACGGTCTTATTATCTTAAAAGAGTAGAGGTAGCTGTACTCTCTATTTAAGAGAGTCGAGGACACTTTACATTGTATCTAACCACATTCTATATTTGGTTTGGAGCTATTGGCGTTTATAGTTCCCTCATTCGAAACTCATATCAAATACAATTATTTGAAGCATTCCTGTCAGGTGGGGGCCTGTATTTCACACCAAACCGTACAGTTCCCAAATGAGCCACGCTTTGGCATGAGCTGGATTTGTGGAGTGGAGCAATCCCAAGTTCAGCCTTTTTTCCACTCCGTGTTGGTCAGAGTGCAGCAGCACAGAGGTCAGTTCCTGGGTCACTGGCACGTACAGTTGGGTTTGCTTGACAACTTTCATGATGTATCCAGGTTCAGGTAAGCCTTCCCTGTGCCCACATACCTGAACCTGGGAGGTTGTGGTGTCCATGTTAACATGTGGTTCTTCTTCAGACATTCCTGCAATGCCCTGCTGAGCTGATATATCAAGAGGTTATTCTTCAACCTGAGAAACTGGTCATGTGGAACAAAACAGTTACTGTTTGCCAGGTACTCCTGTTATCTGAAATCACAGTTCTCCTGGAAATGATTAATTGCAGTGCAATGCAGCTGAGAGTATCTAATCCGTACTAACTTTCCAAAGCAATGGGAATGGAGGGAAACTGTGCCAATCATCAAGAATTTATAAACTACTGAGCAGTGCTTTCTGTAATGGAAGGTGTTGTGGACTTGGGCAGATGACAGAATGAGGCTGAGATAGTCTTGGGTCTCAGGTTTTGTTAACTAAGATGTTAACATTTCCATGTCCTTGATCAATCTTGCCTTTCATTCATTATTATACTTTCAACACCTACTAAGATGGTAGTTTGACTTCATTTTCTTTCATGTTCCTATACAGTCCCACTGGTATTTATCCTCTTTGGGGTTTGGACACAACACTCACTGACACTCAATGGGACACTATTCCACACACACGCCCTCTCTCACTGGGTTACAGTCCCCTATACATGCTGATTCACACTCTAGTATGGGTCCCACACACACACTGACTGTCACTGGGGTACGGGTCCCACATGCCCTGAGTCTCACTTGGGTACAGTCTCACACACACTGACTGTCCCTGAGGTACGGTTCACACAGACACCGATTCTCATTGGGGATACGGTCCCACTTCCACTGTGGGGCAGTTCCATCCACATGAATCCTGTCTGGGGTATCAGTTCCACGTACACTGGCTCTCACTGTTATGCAAGTGTCTTTTGAGTAAAAGTTTGATAGTTACTGATCTGTAAAATCCTCTTGTGAAGTGGGAAAATTATTTGTGTGTTACCCAGATTTCAACATCAGTCTTAATGAGGTTTATCTGAATCTGCCCCACCCCCCACCCCCCAAATGCTGTGTTTAACAATGTTTCTCATTCAACATTTTAATTGCCTGAATTGATGGGAATGAGACCAGTAAATGTGACATTGACAATCCTGGTTCTTCAGGTTCTCCAACGGATCGATGATAACACTATAATCACCTACGATGTTTCGGCAGGAGCTGCAGGAGGAGTCGTTTCTCCCAGGTCAGGATTGAAGAATTTGTACATCGTCTTTTGTGTCAGCTATTTGCTGATTGCATAACGTCAAGTCTATTTGTAGTTTCTCAAATAATTAGGCAATTTGAGCCCATATGCAGCAAGACCTGGACAATATTCAGGTTTGGGTTCATCATTGTGCGCCAAGTAATGACCATCTCCAATAAGAAATAATCTAACAATCACAACCTGACATTCAATGACATTAACATTGTTGAAGCTCCCACTGAAACATTCAGGTGTTACCATTGCCCAGAAGCTGAACTGTACCAACTGCATAAATACTATACAGCTACAAGAACAAGTCAGAGGCTCAGATTCCTACAGTGAGTAACTTTCCTTATGACTCGCCAAAGCTTGACCACTGTCTGCGAGGTATAAGTCAGGAGTATGAAGGAATAGTCTCCACTTGGCTGGAGGAGTGAAGCATAGTTTAGGGCAGGAGAGTAAGGCGATGCTGCCCAGATACATTTTTTAATTTCATTTTCAGTTTTCTGGTGAAGTTGGTTTCAGGTATTTGTAGTTCAACTAACAGTTTTTATATTTCAAATCCATGTTGGAACTCTGAACAAAAACAGACATTGCTGGAAAAGCTCAGCAGGTCCGGCAGCATCTGTGAAGAAAAATCAGAGTTAATGTTTCGGATCCAGTGACCCTTCGTCAGAGGAAGATTCTGTTCCTGATTTACAGCATTTGCAGTTCTTTCAATTTCTATGTTGGAACCGTTTTCAACTGCACGATGCATCGCAGCAAATGCCAACTTTCTCCTTCCCCAAAATGGGCATGGGCATACACTTTCTATCAGAGGTCAGTGGAGAGAAAATCAGAAGCATAAACCTCAACTGATTTTTGTTCCCTGTCTTAGCCAGGGGCACTGACTTCATGCAGACCAGGATAGTATCTGCTGCTCAGACACTATACTTAACTAGCAAACCAGCAAAGCTGCTGATCAGGCCACTTTTAAAGGGACAGGTGCCCAGGTTTTCAATCTCCTGACTTGTGTTAACTGCTTTCAATGTGCTGAGGTTGAACAATGGCTTCCTTGCAGTGCAACAGCGCTGGAAATTTTTCCAAAAGTTGTGACCGTGATATTTCTCACTTTTTTTCTGTAAAACACATGATATGATCATTCCCTAATATGTAATGGTAATGATAAATTTGCAGGGACTTTGTGAATGTGCGTCGTATTGAGAGGAAGAAAGAGATGTATATTTCTTCCGGTATGTCAACCACTCATGACTCCAGACCTCCACAGAACAAGTATGTCAGGTATGAGGCAGCTGAATAAAACCAGGGCAATAGATGCTATATTGGAGAAAGAGAATAGGACCATTGATACTATGTCAGGATGAAATGGGATAACACGTTAAGCATATTTAGTAGAAGTATCTGATGGAATGACATGTGGAACAATATTGCATTGTACTGTTTGGTCAGTGAGCTGACCTGTCCAAAACGTGATGAAAAGTCCTGAGCTCCCTGCAGCTATTGGGAGGAACTGGACTGGGAACTAGCAGAACAAGTGGGCACCAAAGCAGCAAGACCTAGAGAAAGTACGTAGACTAAAAGAGTGAAGGATACAGAAACAGTGCTGTACACAGACTGGGCAAGGGAGGATACTATGACAGCACTGTAAACAGACTGGAGCGACTGGGGCAAAGTGATCAGTAATATTAGCAGCAGTGTGATTTTTCTCTTTAAGAAACATGCGTTGTCTTTAAAGAAACATTTGCACCTTTCCCTGTTTTCCTAGCAACTGAACTCAGGATGAAGTTAATTCACTAATGAAAACTCAATGAGAAACACTGAACTCTCAGCAGGAGTGTTGACAAAAGGAGAATGAGGCTGTCTGAAACTTTGTAGCTGTTTAAAATCTCCCTTAATTTGGCATAGTATAATATATTCCAGTGTAGAGCGGGATTAAGAAGAAAGCTTTATCCTGATATGTCTTTACTGTACAGCAGGTGGTGGTGCTGCTTTGTGCCTGCATTTTCTTCCATGTTTTACTCTGTCGGTAATCAAAGCCTTCACTGATCCCTTTAAATCTCTTACAGAGGCGAGAATGGGCCTGGAGGGTTTGTGGTACTGAAGTGTCCTCAGAACCCCAGAGTCTGCACCTTTCTTTGGATACTAAATACAGATTTGAAGGCAAGTATTAAAAGTCGAACAAAGGGTTTACTTGATCGAGGCTGCCAGGGACAGTGAAGTGTTCAATTTTTACTGCAGAGGGCAAACTGCATGGATTTGTCTAGAGGCTAGATGAGCTTTTCAAATGTTTGGAAATGCGAAGCATCTTCCCTACTTTAGTGAAAATCAAACCTAAACAGTAAGGTGACTTCCAAATTACTTTCTTCAGATGTGGGGTTTCTAATGCAGTGTGTGCTGCTTATGAGTGAGGCGACATAAGGAATGAACATATGGGAAGGAGAATGCTTGTCAACCTGCTGAAGGTCCAAGAGCAAGGCTGGCTTGTGGGTCACGTTCCTACTTGGAGCATGAATGCTGACAGAGTGATACCAGAAAGTAGCAACATGAGATGGAAATGTGTTGCATAAATGATTGTTTCCAAAGTAGCCACTGTTATCGCACTCTGTGTTCCCTAAAAAAGGAAATGTCTTTGTCTCATCTCCACTTGTCCCTTCCCGTCCCTTCCCTTCCCTTCCCTTCCCTTCCCTTCCCTTCCCTTCCCTTCCCTTCCCTTCCCTTCCCTTCCCTTCCTTTCCTGCCCCTCCACTCTTTCACTGTCCCATTCCCCACTTTTCTCCCTGCCTCTCTTACGTCCCTATCATGGACCAAAACCTAGAAATTCTGTGTTAATTTTCAAGGGATTCATTACCTGAGATTTCCTGGCTGACACGTAGTTGTGTATTCCTTTGTTGACAGATTTAAAAATGTTCTCTCCTTTGCAATATCCCTTTCTATACCTGACCTTGCAGCCTCCTTCCCAGCCCTCTGGAGCCTCATACTCCCCTGGCAGATGCCACTGCCATAATTTTCCTGGCAATTTTGGAAGGCATGATGTTTTCCCTCTTGTCTTCAAGTATTCTGAGAGACACTCCCCAACTCCCTCTCTCTGGGTTACTAGTTTTAACTAGTATGTGTTTTTCAGGCCTTTTCTGGGCAGTAGTTGTTTAGCCATTGTGCTTCATCCCTGCGGCTCCCTCTTCTCAGCAATGTTCCCTTACTATTTAATGTTATTTATTAATTTAAAAGCTATCACGGGCTTCTCTCCAACTGCATTGACCATGCACTACAGGTGACATGCTGGGATTGTGTTTCATTTTTGTGCATTTAGTGCAACAGGTCCTGTTTGATTTTGTTTGTGCTATCTAGTTCAGTTTCTTCCCAGTGTTGGGCTGTAACTTTGTCTGTTTCTTGAGCAGGGCCGGCTGCCCCGATACCTGATCCAGCAGAGTCTCGCAGCCACCATGTTCGAGTTCATTGCGCACCTGAGGCAGCGAATCAGTGAGATAAGGGAAGCAGCGCATTACTGACTGCAGCATTAAACATCACATCGGCACCATCTATAGAAATCACCATGTCCCGAGTCAGCAATTGCAAACCAGGATCAACTTACAAACTGACGCAGCATCTACTAATCTTTGTACTCATCACTGAAAGATTGTTTTAAAAGTTATTCTTCACATGGCTTCCCTGATTGAAGTATCACATGAAGGAATTGAGATACAATAATGAACATTTTTATTTTTTATATTATGCCATTTTTTGTATTATGTTGTTGAATTCTCACAGTGTACAATCCACCTGCTATGGGAGTTTTACATTTAGAAACGAATATTACTGTTTGATAACAGCTTTGTGGTTCTCTGATACAGTACAGGTCGCTGAGTGCTGTGAGGCTGAAATATTTGCTGCATCCACTAGGTGCTACTAGTAGATGCAGGTGGAGGTGAGCTGCTGCATTGCTGTTTCTCATCAGCTTGTGCCGTGGTTCCTTTTGTGACAGGGATTGTTTATTCTCATTTCTCGGAATTAGATAAATGAAAATTGTTTTTAATAGTAGATAGCAGCCTCTCCTGTAGCTCAATGGGCCATTGCACCATCCAGCCTAGATCTGAGCTCCAGGGGCCAGGAAGATTGTGCATCCTGCCGATCCCATGTTCTACACTGGGCCTTAGCTGGAGAAACAGCTGGAATTCTATTATTGATGACTGTCTATCGAGTGAGTGGCTTACAGCTGAAGGATCAAATATGAGGCCCTCCAGGGTGGAATATCCTGCTGCCATACACTGGAATGAGGGACTGGAGGGAGGTTATCGTGAATGGCATCTGTATGTGACAATTGTCTCTGCCTTCAGGAAGGGTGAGATATCATATGATCAACTATTACTCTACATTACCTGGAAAAGCACTGTCAGCAGTCATGGCTGGATATAAAAATGTAATTGTTGCACTGTGCAGATGAGGGACTGTCTAATAGACATGTGGTTGTTTTCTCATGATTAACCCTGTTAATTCCTCATCCAGCTCTACTTGATTGCCAGATCCCAAATTCTCGACATACTCCAATTTCGTCCCAAGTTTCCTGCACAGATCCAATTAAGGGTAAAACATCCTTTCCCAGGGCTGGACTGTATACTAAAAGCCGAAAAAAAAATGTTAAATCAGAATAAAACCATAAAATTGATTTTTTTTTAATTAGAGATAAATGCCGTGCCATCTTTCTGCCTGAAAACTGTATGGAAAGTCTGATAGTGAAAACAAAATACTTTTCTGTTGTCCAAAGTCATCTTAACAGATCTGTAATCTAACCTTACTCAACCCCATCACAAAATCAGAAGGCCATCTTGTCCATTGTGCCCATACTGGCACCTTAAAGGGGTTACCAAATTAGAATCCACCACACTGCTTCTTGCATATTACCCTGCAATTACTTTCCCTTCATGTATTTTTCCAGCTCCTTTTTGAAAGTTATTATTGAATCTGCTTCCACTGCCCTTTCAGGAAGTGTATTCTAGATCTCAACAACCCTGTGTAGAGACCGTTATTATGTCGCCTGGATTTTTTGCTAAATATCTTAAATCTCACCCTTTGATATTGATCTCTTTGCAATGTGATTTTGAACACCTTTATGAAATCATCGCTTAATTTTCTTTAAGGACCCTCCAGGTAACTGAAGTCAGTCATTTCTAGTACCTTTCTAGTGAATCTTTTCTGCATCTTCTTTATGATCTTGACAGCTTTTCTAACATGTAGCATCCAGAATTGGACATTGATTAATGTCTCATAGTGGTGTAGCATAATTTCTACGCTTTCATACTCTATGCCTCTCTTTTGAAGAGCTAAGAATCCTATGAGCCTTTTCAATAGGCATTTCAATTTATCATAGCACTTTATGAATAAGTCTGTACTTACACCCCCAGGTCTTTCTGTTTCTGCATCACCTTTAAAATTGTTGCACTGAGTTTATATTGATATCTTCCAATCAAAATGCATGCATTCCATTTCCACCTATTTGCCCATTCCTCCAGTCCAGCTGGTCCTCTTGAACTCTGATACTATTTTCACTGCATCTTTCAATCTTGTGTCATGTGCAAGCTTTGAATTTAGTTCAGTTTTCTCCATATCATTGTTTCTTCACCCTGACCTACCATATTTTATACAGTAAACATTCCAGAACCAGCAAACAGGGAATTCCACAAAGTACAGGAGCTTAATTTGTCTCCACATTACTTCTGGATTAACTGAAATATAGGGAAGAGAACTGGAACAAGTGGTTTTACAAAAAGTCTGTGGAAAGTGCGAAATGCACAACCAAAGTCCCAGTCAATACTGAAGAACTATGCAGCAAGTAGCTGAAGGAAAAAAAAATAAAACCAGATGTTTGCAAATGTTAGAAATCTGAAGTAGAAATAGAAACATGCAGCAGAGACCATAAGACATAGGAGCAGAAATTAGGCCATTCGGCCCATCGAGTCTGCTCTACCATTCGATCATGGCTGATAAGTTCCTCAACCCCATTCTCCCGCTTTCTCCCCATAACCCTTGATCCCTGCGATAATCAAGAACCTATCTATCTCAGTCTTAAATGTACTCAATGAGGTCAGGCAGCATCTTTGAAAAGAGAGAAAGAATTACTGTTTCAGATCTTTAATTAGGACTGGAGAATAAAGGCGGGTACGAATATGGGAGGGGGATGCTTCTCGTGTGATGGATAAATGTCCGCATGGCCTGAGCTCAGCTTTATTCCGATGGATGTTTCTGACTAAAGTAACAGCCGTTTGCTGAAGGAGGCCATTTGCTTCCATGAATATTGAACTGCCAGAGTCTCTGGGTAAGTTATTACTCTGCGGAAGAATGAATGTCATCACAGCACAGGAGAAAGAGCAAACCTAACCCTTCTTCTGATCCAGCCACTTCTGATCAGCAACTTTTGCTGCCAGGAAATAATTGTGGAGAGTTGCAGAGAATTTGATCATGTCCCCCTTTGACAAACTCTTGGCTGATATTGAATGCTCAGATTCCAAAGTTAAAATGAGTAACCTTGAAATATAGAATACACGCAGTACAGTATTCCAGTATTCAGTTCATTGGGTGTTAACATCACTGGCTAGTCCAGCATTCGTTGCCCAGAGAGCAGTCCTGAGAAAGCCACATTGCAAGGTGCCTGGTAGGGGCTTGGGGAGAGGAACATGTGAGGGGTATGCTTTCCATGTGCTGGATAAATAAATGACCTGGATCTAGCCATAGTTTCTATATGTTTGTTTCTAAGTAAAATAAGGATGGTACATTTCCTTCCTGAAGGGGCATTAGTAAACCAGATGAGTTTTACTACAATTGCCAAACATTGTCATTAGACTAGCTTTCAATTCCAGATTTTTACTGAATTCAAATTTCACCATGATGGAATTTGAACCCATGTTCCTGGAACACAAGTCTGGGTGTCTGCATTACTTGTCCAAAGACACTACCACTATGACACCATCTCCCCCTTTGATGGTGCTAAAGTGGGAGAGAAGAGTTAAAAATAGCTAGCTGAGTGTAGATTATATAACAGAAACATGACATCAGTCTCTAGTGCTGTTGTCTCCTGCTGTGATTCAGACAGTGACTATGGCAGGGCCACTCAGTGGATACATAACTCAAAGCCAGTTTGCACCTACTACTCCCTCACATTACCCAGATAATTGAATAGTTTGTTAATCTGAGTATTGGTGGCACTGAGCCCCTTGTTCACCTACCCCTCTATCTGCCAGTTACTGCTGGGTGACTTGCTATCTGGGCCTATCTTCTTCCTTTTTTTGACCTTCCAGTTCCTGTCATCTGTTGTTTAAAGCTACTTGTTAAAACTTCATGTTGCAAACAACAGACTGGTCTTTTTCTGGAGATGCGCATCTTTACATAAATAATAACCGTGAGCTTTTAAATCAAGACTTGGCAAAACAGATTCAAGCACTAACACCCACCTACTGCTGCAATCAAAAGGCAAATCATTTAAAAATCACAACAGATTGTGGTTAGAATCATGAGATTCTCTGAAAATGTTTCCATTTCAATAGCTTGACTTTTAAATAACATCCTACTGACAGACAGAACAGAGTCCACATTGTTGGGACTAGGGATGCAGTTGTCCTAGTTTAAAAAACATTGTATTCTCAGCAGTAGTATCTAGCTCCCAAAGTAGTCCATAGTGGGCACTGGTCTTCATTCTGATCACGTGGGAGACAGCTGGATGCCATTGGCCCTATTATTAATATTCCACTGATACAGAAAATATTTAAGGATTTACCTATGGCAAAATGCTCAGGAAACAGGAGAACACTGCCAAGATTCATTGTGAAGAAAGAAAGGGAGAATTGAGGCTGATAAAGTAATTGGTAAATAATTGAGTCACAACCAGAAGTTACTTGTAAATACAAGAACCTGGTAAAGGGTATGGTAGAATCATTAAAATGTGGAAGTGCTGGCTAAAGTTAGTGATAAAATTAAATTATTGGGCTGCAGATTTCCCAATTCTGGAGCAAGACTAAAAGAGAAGGATGTTTAAAATGAGTTGTGCAGAGCTGAAATCAGAGCAACAATGGGAAGCGATTCAGCCCCTTAAACTTATTCTGCCATTCAATCAGATCATGGCTGATCTGCAACCTAACTCTGTATACCTACCTTTACCCCTCTGTTCTTATTGTTTCTTAAAGGGAATGTAGCATTGCTGGCCAGTCCAATGTTTATTGCCCATTCCTGATTGCCCTAGAGATGGTAGTGGTGAGCTGCTTTCTTGAACCACTGCAATTGTTGAGTGTAAGAACACCCATAATGCTATTAGGAAGGGAGATCCAGGATTTTGACCCAGTGACACTGAAGGAATGGCGATATAGTCCAAAGTCAGGATGGTGAGTGGCTTGGAGGGGAAATAGTGGGTGGTCGTGTTCCCATGTATCTGCTGTTCTTGTCCTTTCAAGTGGTAGAGATGAAGGGTTTTGGAATGTGCTGACTAAGGAGCCTTGATAAGTTACTACAGTTCATCTTGCACATAGTACACATTGCTGCCATTGTGAAATGGTGCTGAAGTGAGTGAATGTTGGTGATGGATATGATACCAGTCCAGTGGACTGCTTTGTCCTGGACAGTATTGGGCCTCTTGAATGTTGTTGGAGCCGAAAGCATCCAGGCAATTGGGGTGTATTCCATCTCACTCCTGACTTGTGCCTTGTAGATTGTGGACAGGCTTTGGGGAGACAGAAAGGAAGTCAGTTGCTACGGAATTCCTAACCTGTGACCGGATATTGTAGCTACTCGATTTATATGGCTGTCGCACTTCAGTTTCTGGTCGATGTTAACACCAGGGTGTTGTGAGATTTGATGTCCCTCAATCAGTTTGGATAACAAAATCTACCAATTTAATTATTAAAGTTAACACAATGTAAATTTTTAATTGCAGTCTGCAGAACATATTCACAGAGAGTGGTAGACATTTGGAACTAAGTGTTTTGCATCGTTAGGTTCCCAACCAGCGTAAATATTGTTTATCAACACTATCTTTTCCCTTAATGTTTTGTAAAGTTTGATTACATCACCCCTTAACCTTTTAAATTGAAAGAATACAAGGCGAGTTTATGTAACTTCCACTCATCATGCAATGCTTGTAGTTCAGATATTATTCTGGCATATCTACAATTTATTCTTTCCAAAGCTGCACAGACATGGGTAGATTTGTAACTGCCTTGTATGGTGGCCTAACAATTGTATTGAACTATCCAGTAATCCAAGACAAGAGAAATAAACTGTGACAGCATTATTCACATCCAGTGGTCTAAAGGGCAAATATTGAGCCAGTACGCAGAAGCAGTGCCCGGCTTTCAGATACCACAACTACACTGACTGCCAATCTCAAATACAAATAGTTTGTTTCTGATTATTTTCTTTTTTTTGCTTTTTGTCCAGTAATATTTTTGTAATATTCAAGTGTTCTGTCAGTATTACTCACTGCAGTTTTGAAGTCAGAAGTCACACAACACCAGGTTATAGACCAACAGGTTTATTTATATAAATTATAAATTCCTGCTTTCGGAATAAAACCAGCCTGATTCCAGGTTAAAACTCAGAGACAGATTCTGAACAAAGCCTCACACCTACAGTTCAGTGTCTGACCTGAGATGTCACCTTTTGTATTTTCCTGTGACTCTGCCGGATTGTCATGACAGCACAGCACTGACATTGACTTTCTAAACACTTTATTCACCATCTAACATTCTTGGTCACCTGCGGAGACTTATGATATGACACTCCACTCAGACCAGTTGTATGATCTTTTGATCTCTCTGTCCTTGATCTCTCTGCCTATAAACTGTGTGTTCTCTCTCACTGCAACTGCGCTCCAAAAGCATGTGTGATTTCAAATAAACCTGTTGGACTATAACCTAGTGTTGTGTGACTTCTGACCTTGTCCACCCGCAGTCCAACACCGGCACCTCCACATCATGACTGAAATTTTCAATGTGGGCCATTACATTGAGCCTGTTTTTATTAAATCTCTCAATGTGCTTTGTGTTTCTTTGTTTGGCTGGAGGGGAGAGTTAATCATCACAACCTTCACATGACCACCCATGACTTGATCCTCTGAACAGAAAATATTCACATAATCCATGCATTTAATATTATACAAACCATCTTTAGACACTAAGGAGTGTCACTAATGACAAAAACCTCGATCTCAGGCTAATCTCTGAACTACTTGAATTCCCATCTGTGGCATATTTGCTTCCAATTGCTGAATGTCTATGCTTGTGTGGTCTGACTAAGATTTAAACACTCTGAAATGGGGGATAGGAATATATTTTATCGCATATGCTGTTCTTGCTGCAGAGGAGATGAACCAGAAGAAAAGACTCCAATCATCAGGTAAAAACTACAAAGAAACTCTGATTTACTTGCAAGATTTCCAGCTGCAAATTTGCTGTGGTTAGGAAGCTGAAATGGAATAAACAATCAACAAAGAACTTTATCTAATAATTGGTGGCTTGTATCTAGCCATTGCTTCGTTACGAAGCATTTGGGCAAATGGGTTCTTAAGGTTTCTTATGGAGGAGACGGATGCATTCTCGTGTGAGAGGCAGGGGTTATCTGGGTTTATTTTGAATTACTTGGTGCCAATGGGATTTGATTACTTTCATGGTGAGGTTGTGTAGTGTTTTATTAGTCCAAGTAGGATAGGTTGTACTGGCTTGGTTGAAGTGAGATCAGATTGAGTAAAGTCAGATTATATTAGCAGAAGAAATGCTGTTTTATTCCATCTCCCAGTCCAAGATGATGAGATCAATTGGAGCTCCTTTTTCTGCTCCAGTTAAGATCAGCAATTTAGTATTAAGTCTTTCAAGTTATTTACTGCACTGAAACAAGCCAGTTGACCCAGCAGGTCTGTAGGAAGGGTCACCAGAACCGAAACGTTAACTCTGATTTTTCTTCACAGATGCTGCCAGACCTGCTGACCTTTTCCAGCAACTTCTGTAATATACCCAAGTATTCCTCTCTCCCTCGTTTATTTATGTAGTTTCCTATTAAATGTATCAATATTATTCATCCTCACCACTTGCTGTGGGATGAGCTCCACCTTCTCAACCATTCGCTTTTTAAAGATGTTTCTCCTGAACTCCCATTTGAATTTATTTGTGAATGACTTATTTTTATGGGCCCTGGTACTGGATTTGTCAGAAAGTGGAATTTCAAAAAAATATTTAGCCCATTCAAAAGTCTTTCATCACAAATACAATCAGGTCACCATTCATCCTTTCCTTTTCTAGAAAATAGTCCTAGGCTGTTCATTCTTTCCTGTAGTTATAACCTCTCTGTTCTGGTGTAATTTGTATCCGTTATTGTTTGCAACTTTTCCCACGTATTGATGTCCTTTTTCATAATATGAAGACCGGAACTATTCGCAGTCAAATTTAGGTTCTGTACAAATTTAATGTAACTTCTTTGTTTTTCAGTTCAGTTTCTTTACTGTAATCATTGCCAGCATTTTGTTTGTTCATTAACCTGTCTCTAATGTGTTCCCTACCCCACAGATACTTATTTTTCAAGAATTAAATGGTCTCTTTATTCTTCCTATCAAAATATACTACCACACACTTAACTCATTGAACTTCATTTGTCGTTGACACAATTGTCTATTTTGCAAGGAAATTAACATTTTTCTGAATTCTCTTGCAGTCCTCTTCTGTGATAATTTCAAACCCTCATTTTCACTGGTGGCATCCACAAGTTTTGACATGTACCTTCACATCCCAATCTTCTCTGTAAATTGTGATCAACAGTGATTCTTTAAAGTTAATCTGAACTATCCAGCAACCATCTTTGCTAAACAGTGAGACTAGTTTGTAGACAGCTCTCAATCACAGATTGCTTACAACACAAACAGAAGCCATTCAGCCCGTTCTGATTATGCTGCACCTCAGTGAGGCAATTCACTACCCCCACCTGTTGCATTTTCCCTATATTTTGGTAATTTATCCAACTCCCTTCAGAAATCCATGATTGAATCTATCTCTATCATACACTCAGGCAGTGCATTCTGATCCAAACAGCGCACTGCCTAGAAAGGATGTTCCTTATTGGCAAAAGAATGCAGGTTATATAAACACTTCCAATCAATGCCCTCCAGTTCTCTAGCCTTCACCAGTTGGAACAGTTTCTCCCTATCTCCTAGAGCTCTTGTTATTTTTAAAACTGCTATCAAACTTCCTCTTAACCTTCTTGCCTGAGGAAAACAACTTCAGCTTCTTCAAAATATCCTTGTTACTAAAATCTCTCATCCCTAGAACCATTTTCATAATTTTTTTCCGTTCTGTCTAATCCATTCACATTCTTCTTAAAATATGGTGATCATAGACCTACCATCCATTTATAGAGAGGCTCACTAAAACTCCCATGCTTTTCGACACTATACCTTTTGTTCTAATGTTCTTTTGTAAATGATGTGTGACCCTTTTATACAGATATTCCTCTGTAAATTAAATAGAGAAGGTTATGAGTGACTAATTGATTTGTCTCTTGTGTGAACAGCGACACGTTGCTCTACTTTGCCCAGGAAGCTCAGCGCAGGAGATCAGAACAAGCAAATTTGTGGAGTGAACCCCATGATACATCCCACATGGAGAGGGATGATGACCGGGAACTTTACAACTTGCTGCAGAAGCGGGCCAAGACACGGAGGGGCTCTCAGGTGAGCTGTGAATCAGTTAACTTCACTTTTACATCTGACACCAATATACATTCATTGGATGATTTTAACACACAGATCCCAAGACATTTCACAAATACAGCATGAGGAAGGGCCAGGTAGGGAGGTAAGTGATTCAAAAGGTTTAGGTAGGGCCCAAGCAGGTCAAGGTGCAGTTGCACAGGGTGAGTTGAAGGGAAGCTATCCATACAAAAGGTCAAGGATCGGAGAGTGAAAAGTTGAGGCCTTGGGTTTGCTGTGTTGGTGAAGGTAGGATGAGGCCATGGAGGAATTTAAAAATCAGGATGACAATTTTAAATAAAAGTACCCTGGAACTAGAAGTTGAGATGGGTTGGTGAGGCTGGAAGTGATAGACTGCCCCTTTGTCTGAGTATGTCCAAGTTGTATTTGATTTTATTTTGTTTCATTTTTTATTTCAAAAATATACTTCATTCATAAACAAATCATCTGTAAGTATATAGAAAGGTTCTAAATCAGTTCTGTACAGTTCTTGCAGAGAAAAAGACAAACAAAAAAATTGAAATTTTGATATATCCCAGGGCTTCTCTGCATCTGCAAGGCAAAGGTATTCTCTACCTTTTATTTCACATGAGACATGGGGCATCCCTGGCTGAGTCAGCATTTATTGCCCATCCCTAGCAGCCGTTGAGAAGGTGAGAGTGAACTGCTGCAATCCACATGCTGTAGGTTGACCCACAAGCCCTTAGGGAAGGAATTCCAGGATTTTGACTCAGCGACAGTCTTGCAACTTAGGCAGGAAACTATTATATCCATTTTGAGGGACCAAGAATGTCCGATAACTGAGTCCTCGGTTCTGAGGAAGGGTCACCGGAGCTGAAATGTTAACTCTGATTTTTTTCTTCACAGATGCTGCCAGACCTGCTGAGCTTTTCCAGCAACTTTGTTTTTGTGTCTGATAACTGAATGGACCCACATTATACTTTTGCAGACTTGCCAAAACAGATTCAAGCACTAACACCCACATATACATACACATATACTTCCCCCACTGTGCCTTGGCAGCAGCTGGCCCAAGCTTTAGTGCGTCCCTCAGCACGTAGCCCTGGACCTTGGAATGTGCCAGTTTGCAACACTTGGTCAGGGTCAACTCCTTGCTCTGGAAGACCAACAAGCTTCGGACAGACCAAAAAATCTCTTTCACTGAGTTGATGGTCCTCCAGGCACAGTCAATGTTTATCTCAATGTGTGTCCCGGACAACAGCCCATCGAGCAGAGTCCTGTGTCATGGAACTGCTCCGGACGAACCTCGACAAAAAGCACTGCATCTCTCCTCAGACCTTCTTTGTAAATGCACGTTCCAGAAGGAGATGAGCAATAGTCTTTTCCTCAACACAGCTGCTTTGAAGGCAGTGTGCAGTGGCGCAGAGAGTCTGGGCAGACATGAAGGAGCTGATGGGCAGTGCCCTTCTCACCAGCGGCCAAGTAATGCCTTGCCATTTGTTGGAAAGTTCTGGCAGAGGCATTCTGCCGAATGACTTTGACAGTCTGCTGAGGGACCAACTCAACAGGATCCAGTCTCTCCTTTTCCCGAACGGTCTTGAGGTCATTACATTTAGTTCTTTTGATATAGTATCACGGAGAGTGTTAGTAGAATGATCTAACCGTGGTGGACAGCCCCAGAGCATATTGCAGTTAAAACCCTGACTCCTCTCTCCTAGGGTTACCGCCGCCTCAGCTTTGACATTCACGCAGTTCGCCAGGAACGCAGAGACGTACTGGGGAAATGGAAGATAATTTTAGAAAACCTGGGTAAATAAAAAGTGGTCTTAGCTGAAGAGAAAATTCTTCTACCTTCCCCATAAATCCTTTGCAGCTCTCTCCCTCCCTCCTTCCAGCTCCTCTCCCCTGTCCCCCTGAATGTTCCTTCCCAAACCTCTCTCTTACTCTATTATTGTCCCTTCCCACTTTTTCTTTAATCTCCCATTTCTCTGTTTCCTCTAACTCTGTCAGACCCTGATTCCTATCAATCCTATCCAGTCAGAATGGGTGACGTGCTGCAATGTTGTGTTACAATCCCACTCTTGGCGAATGTGTTTTCTCCAGGTTTTCGCGCAGAGTCTGACATGCTTCTGAATGTGACATCTGCAACCTCATACAGCAGCATGCGAAATGCTCCCCAGGCAAAGAAACTGCTGGATGTCCTGGCTCAAGAAACCTCAATATTTGAAAACAAAATGCCAGCAGAGAGATACATCTTTGTTCTGGTAGGTGACGATGATGGTGAGGGTGAGGGTGGGGGAGATGGAGATGTGGGTGATAAGAATAGCAGGAAGGTGGAGTGAAGGGAAATGGGGAGGTGAGGGATGGTAGTGAGTGGAGGGGATGGGAAATGTGGAAAGATTGGGGGATGTGAAGAGGAGGCAGAGAGTAAACAAAAGGTTCAATTTTGGAGGTGACATTGTGAAATCCAAACCAGACTGAGTCAAGACTTTTTGGAACAATCCAATTGTTAAAAACCAATAAACTTTATGACCAGGAGAACATTCGGCACATTGGGTCTGCTGTTCTTCGGACAAGTTCAAATCAGTTCATTCTGCCTCTTTAAATGTCAACACACCAGGATCCTGTGTTCAGTAACAGAGAATGTCCCTTATAACCAGTAACTATACAAGCAGTGAGTTAGTTATGACTTGGAGAGGTGGAAGATATAAAAAGGACATGAGGGGCAACCTGTGTGGAATGAACTGTGAGAGAAAGTGGTGGATGCAGGTACAGTTACAACATTTAAAAGACATTTGCATAAGTTCATGAATAGGAAAGGTTTGGAGGGATACTGGCCAAATGCAGACAAGTGGGACTAGTTTAGTCTGGGAACATGGAAAGTGTGAACTGGTTGGACTGAAGGGTCTGTTTCCATGCTGTATGATTCTATGACTCCATGACTCCTGACTGTGGATATTCAGACAGAGTTGGGGTCACATCAACAGGGTGTAGGTGAAGAGAGAGCTCCTTCAGGTAGTGGGTCAATCTGTAGCCAGTGTGAGTACTGGAGTTAAGAACGTCTGAAATAGAGGACATTGTTTAAAAACTGAGAGATGATTCCTGTGTACACAGGACAGACTGATTGCATTGGATGCTGCAGAAGACTTTCTGTCAAAGGCCAAAACCTATTATCCTCGAGATCAAAGCCCTGAGCTGGAGAATGAGGGGCAGGATTCAGCTGTTGTTCTAATTAAAAAATCAAATGAAATCAACTCGGTAACTGATGAGGAACTGGAAGAAGTTGATGAAGATGCTCTGCTCTCAAGATTATTGGAATTGTAATCATAAATGCACCATGGAATTCCTGATTCATGTTTTCCAAAGATTGCAGCAATTATTCTTCATCTTCCCTGTTGGAATTTACACAAGATGGAAAGAAATTGCATTTCTTTCTCAGCCTCAGTATATTCCAAAGTGCTTTTACAACCAATGAAGGACTTTTTGAAGTGTAGTGTAAGAAACGCAGCAGCCAATTTACACATAACAAGGTCCCACAGACGGTAATGTGATAATCTGTTTTAAATGTTAACTGGGGTTAAAAATTAACCAGACACTGGAAGAACTCCCTCTGCTTTCCTTTCAAATTATGTCACTGGATCTTTGACCTGCATCACAGAGGAAAATCAATAGACAACAGTTGAGGCAATGCAAAATAAGAGTTCAAGGTGCTCTTTAAATGCAGGTTGCTGAGCTGAATGAGGTATTCTCTGTGTCTGCGTGTATGGATGTGTGGGTGGGTGGGTGTGGGTGTGTGTATGTGTGTGGATGTGGGTGTGTGTGGGTGGGTGGGTGAGTGGGATGGGTGGAGAGAGAGAAAGGGAAACCGAAAGTTTCACGTGATTGGTTTTATATCCTGTCCTGTTTGCTTTTCCTCTGAGCCATTGACCCCTGGCTGTAAAAAAATATAGATAAAAAATGTAAAACTCGACTCTTTTTCTTTAACATGAGTGGAACCAACTACAAGGGAAAAAAAAGCTGTGATCTTATGCGTCACTGGGAGATGGAGGTGTTTCACATTGGTGGGAAGGGGAAAGAGAAAATCATTCCCTCAGTAATTGATGTTCTGGGAGGTGAGAAATTCCTGCATGATCGATGATGACTGATTATTTCTCTGTCTATGTGGGAAATTGGACACTGTCTTGGAAGTTGGTATATTAGAACAAGCAAGTTTCAGATCCCAGTGAAAGCACCAAGTGTTATCGGGTTAGAACTGAGACAGGGAGTGTAGAGCAAAAGAGAAATATAGAGATAGTGGGAACTGCAGATGCTGGAGAATCTGAGACAACAAGGTGCAGGGCTGGATGAACACAGCAGGCCAAGCAGCATCATAGGAGCAGAGAGGCTGACGTTTCGGGCCTAGACCCTTCATCAGAAAAGGGGGAGGGGAAGGGGGTTTTGAAATAAATAGGGAGAGAGTGGGAGGCGGATAGAAGAGGGATAGAGGAGAGGATAGGTGGAGAGGAAACAAACAGGTCGAGGAGGCGGGGATGGGGCCAGGAAAGACTTTTGTTGAAGCTTGTATCTTGGACTTACCAGGATAATACGGGGATCAAGAAGGAAGTTTAGAAAAATAATGGAGGGAAACTTTTCCACCCAGAAGGTGAACTTGAACAGCATGAACTTAAAATGCTGAAACCTACAAGAATACAGGCTAAAATCTGCAAACTGGGATTGGGCTGGGATGGTCATGGTCAGCTGGTGTGGTCATGATGGTTCAAATGGCCTCTTTCTATGCTATAAATGTCAATGACTACTAAGGTAAATACAAACATAAAAACAAACAAGGAGCAGGAGTAGGCCATTCAGCCCCTCAAGCCTGTTCTATCACTCAATGAGACCATTGGCGATGTGATTGTAACCGACAATCCCACTTCATTCTGATAAACTTTCAGCACTTGCTTACGAAGAATCAATTGACTTTCACCTTTAAAATGCTCAAAGACTCTGCTTACTTTTCACGAAGAGAGTTCCAAGAATCTACTGAGAGAAAAAAAATTACCTCTAACCCTTTGAGAAAGTAGGACTTCCTCAGCACTGAGCATCCGACAGTGCAGCACTCCCTCAGTACTGACGCTCCGACAGTGCAGAGCTCCCTCAGTACTGACCCTCCAACTGTGCGGCGCTACCTCAGCACTGACCCTCCGACAGTGCAGCACTCCCTCAGCACTGACCCTCGACAGAGCGACCCTCCCTCGGCACTGACCCTCTCCGACAGTGCGGCGCTCCCGCAGCACTGACCCGCTCCGGCAGTGCGGCGCTCCCTCAGCACTGACCC